TTTACTTGTAAATAAAAATGTAATAAATATATATGTAAAAACAACTATTTTTTTGGACTTTGTATTTAAAATGTGTATGAATGCAGACCTAATGATCTCATCACTATTAGTGTTGGGAATTGGTTAAAATCTCATAATTGATTATTGGTTCATTACTACCGATCAATCATCGAAAATAATTGGTTAGGGTCATTTATGAAATTTGTTAATGCACATAAAAATAAGGAAAAAAACAAGTAGTTCTTTTGGGGTGTTTTGGCTAAATTTCATATCTTTAAAGGATGACTAGTATGTTAGGAACATAAACTTCCTGGAGTCTTTAAGATAAATTCAATCATGACTTGAAACGAACTTGTAGTGCTTATGAAATGTAACAGACAAAACCAACCTTGTGAAAAATATTGTTCATGAAAACAAGTGTTCCAGAATTGTTTGTGTTCGATTATGAGAAATTATGATCGATTGCTTGGTCGTTTAGTCACTACGACCAATCTTCGATTATTTCAATTAATCGGATCACCACTAATCACTATATGGCTGGAATAATGCCAATGTGTAACACCCCAACTCAACTCAGATGGGAGGCAATACACTCAGCACTTATCTGCCGCCTCTTATGGCCAGCATAGGTGAAGTGAGGTGAGGTGAGGTGAGGTGAGGTGAAATTGGGTTTAACGTCATGCTTGAGAATATTTCGCTCATATGACGACGTGCATGCGTGTGTATGTGCGGCTGCTTGTACTAGCCCAGACTTCAGCTGGTTTTATAGTGCTAGCCCACTGAGATACCATGCCGCAGTGAAGCATGAATATCCCACTCAGACACATTATACTGACTCCGAGCCGACCAGTCCTTGTTGTACCCATTAATGCCAAGCGCCAGGCAGGGACCAACAAGTACCATATTTTAACGTCTTTTGGTATGACGCGGTCGGGAATCGAACCCGCGACCTTTTGCTCTCCGGGCGGACGCTCTAACCACTACACCACGGAGGCGGTGCCAGCATAGGTGGTGGTGAGACCTAGTCTCACCTGGAATCCCCAGGATCAGCAAGTCAGGGACTTTAAGACTTTATACACTCAGCAATACTTGTGCATTTAGATGGCGAGATCTAAAAAAACATCGAAACTGAGCCAAACAAGATAAATGTAAAAGGAGTTGGACATGCTTATTTGACTTCCAAATACATTCAGAGATCAAAGGTGGCCTCGCCTAGAAGACCAAGAAATTGAGACTGACACTAACATAAGAAAACGAAGACATATTTCACTGCTTCATACAAACTTTATTTCTTATAACACAACTGTACAGAACAATATTGTATTGGACGGGGAGGAGAAAGATAACATCAGAAAATATGTTTTTCTTAAAAATAAATGAATAAAATTACGCAGCAAATGACACAGGAATACATATGCCACTGCTCCAAGTCAACACATAGAAATGTAATTTGAATATAACTTCCTCGATAATACCTCAGGACACCCTGGACAGGATTGTATTTAGTTAACAACTTTAAATCTTTCTAAATATACTCTTTCTTGGTCCCTTACATCAACCATGTCAAAAGAATTAATTAAATTAAACACAAACTATTCAGATTGAATATTCTGGTGTTAGACAGCTTGGAACTATATTCCAGTTTTCATGATCACAGGTTCCTGTCATTTCTAAGGGACATAACTCTCTATCATGTATTACTATTAAAGTATTTGGAAAAGGTATTGAAGATGCAAATTTATGAAAGATTTTTTGGGAAAAAAAGACAAGAAACATATCATATAGTAGAAAACAACAGTTGATAAATCACTGTACAAATTCTTTGAATTCAAACAAGACAAGGGACTTTATCAAATTTATATACAGTACAATATCTATCAGCACTTCGAAATTCAGGGTGCACAGCCTGACAAGATCAGACCTCAGCAGTGGCCATAGTCTAGTATGGTACAAAGTATTGATACACAGACATTAGGGGTGTCACCATACACACTTATTTTCATACAAGGCATATCACAAATATACTACTGAATAAAGGTTAAGGATCATTTGCTTCATCACTATAACTGTGGTTAATCTGTAAATCGTCACCAATTATCACGATCTTGAAAACTCGTGTCCCCACTCAAATGAGGATTTGTTTTGTATGAAATTATAATAAAATAATTACAATTTATTGTAAATAAATATTACTTTGACCTTCCAGTCTTAAATTTTAGGCCAAACCTCCATAAACCGATAAAGAAAGTCACATCCCCAATTCACTGGATTTTTTTCGTGAAAACAAAAAAATTAAAATGAAATTGCAAATTGTTATTATTGATGATTATTATTTTGACCTTCCAGTCAATTTGGGACCAAACCTCCATAAACCTATAAAGAAAGTCTGGCTTATTATGAAGCAAATATGATCATGCATGAAGCGTGACACTTCTGTGATATTCGTACACTACACGATAGTGTCATCATATAGAGAAATAGCATCTGGAAACAGTCAACGTACCAGCAGCCAGGTTCCTTATTGTTAACTCTAACATCTCAAGAGACAATAATTATGCATCTTAAAAATTCATGCTAATTCATGATCTTCCCGAAGAAACAATACAGAGGAACCCTGTTTATCCAGACCCTAGATATGAACTGGATCACATTTGTGTGAAACAAAATATCTACCACATAAAATGTCTCATTTATCCAGAAATCTGGTTTCAGTGAATTTCAATAACCTAAAGAGTCTTTACAGTTCCCCAGTCCCCATACAGCGACTACACCGGAACATGTTTGTTTTGCCGGCTCCGTTTCAGAAAGCTGTCGTAAGTCTATGTTACAGTACAGGAGGTATGACGGTCGTAGCGCTATGATAGCTTTGTGAAATGGGCCCTGTTTCTCAAAAGGCATTCATCATCATAAGGGATGGGTATCAGATGTTGACTTTGTAATGTACTTGAATAATATTTCGCAGTATGTAATGGCGTATTTGCTTCAGTAGACAGGAGGTGACCGAGATTCAGATATCCAGAAATTCGTTTATCCAGACAATATATGAGAATATGTGTCCAGAAGTTCAACTGTACAACCAGAAACTAGTTAAAAATCATCTGTCGGCTTCAGCCATCTTGATCTGACTACGAAAAAGGCAGACTGGAGTTAACAAAATGTTTAAATTCAACCATTTTGTATTAACTGCTTTTAAAAGAAAATAACAGTATTGGTTTAAGGTATTTCTTTTTGGCCTGCATTACACAATATTCAACTGAATCTTGGAAATGATAAACTTACTCTCACCCTCGACTACACAAGATGGTTTCATGTGTGTTGAGGAATATATCACAGAATGGCCCAATATAAATGTCACAAAAAATATGGTTTCTGTTAATGCGATATTGAGAGGTCACACGTTGAGAATAAGTTTTAAGTGGAAAGCAAATAGTACATAATAAGAGTCAACTAACATCCACCACCACCATCATCATCATCATCATCATCATCAAGGTCATCTTCACAACCCGAGTCTGCATTGCAGCAACAGAAATCAAAACTAATGCTTGTCTTTTCCATAAATACCTGATATATCCCAAAACCTTATCTTTCTTTGATATAACAGTTATATCCCAATTTTCAGTCCTTATCTTACTTTGATATACCCGGTATCAGTTATATCCCAATTCTCACAGAGCCATGTTAGGGTACAGTGATAAATCTCACGTGATGGAGGGCCAGAGGTTTTTGTTGCACTTATCTACTGAAAATAATGTCCCCCTAATACTTGCACCATTTTTGATGATGCTCCCTATGTCCTTGCAAATTCATTTGATAATTCTCCTCAAAATGATTTATGCAAAAGCGTATTATCTTTTTGTGACCATCCCCGAACATGAATACTGTGAAGGCTGAGTGGGTTAGATGGCTGCCTTTGTGTGCTGGCGATTAGGTGCCTGACTCGGAGTTTGTGGGTTTGAATCTCGATGGGACTCAACCTAACAAACGTACTAGAATCTGTACTTTACTGAGAAAGTGTAATCCCAAACATGACATATCTTACATCCCTGAACATGTATATTATTTCATGGCCGTCCCCGGACATTTATATTATTTTATGGCCCTCCCAAACATGTATATTATTTCATGGCTCTCCCCGAACATTCATATTATTTCATGGCCCTCTCCGAACATTTATATTATTTCATCACCCTTCCCTACAGATTGTCATGTGTCCCCTTTCCCTGATTTCTAGGGTACTTGTGACTTTCCCGTCTTTGTCTCAAAATATGAACAAGGTAAAACAATCCTCAACCCCGCTACATATAACAACACTAGCAGCATTAGTCAACGACAACAGCATACTATAAACAGAGACAGCTGTCAGAGTGGACATCACAAATTAAAAAGATAGGTAAGAGCATAAACATCTGACTTCTAAATAATTTTGGACGGGTTTGAAACTATTAAAAATAGTTTGAATAAAATGCTTGAATAAATAAAAAAAGCACTGTGCTACTGAATTCAAATAATAAAGGTTGGACGGAATTCATTAAAATGTTTTTATGTACATTTACACAAATAACAAATATATGTTTAACAAGTTAAATGTTTCCCCATTCTAATTGAATTCAGTACCATCAGGCAGAATGGAGACGATCCCTGATTATACCTGGAACTGAACTTTAATCTGTTACTATTTTGATTTAATTATTACCACATGAAATCAGCATTGCCTACTTTGATGCTAATCACGCGTCACATCACATATAGCTAGCTCATCACATGTATGCTCATGAACTGACTTCAGAAATCACTGTAAACGATAACAAAATATTCACATATTCCAGTTGTTACCAGATGTGAAAATGTCACAATAAGTTCAATCTAGGTAAAATAATCATTGTCATATTTACAGGAAAATAAATACAGAATAACCAATAACAAGGGGGTTGCTTGTATGCTCACATCTATCGGGTGTGATTTTGGCTTAAAGCTGCATTAAACTGTATTTCACTTGATTTGGGAGGAATAGGAACCATAATCACAAGATCCTGGTAAGCTAAGGGAGGTAATTCTGCACAGGGAATTGCAGCGCGCCCTACAGATCATGTCAATCAAGTAGATCTGATTAAATAAGTGGATCACGGTTTGATCTAAATCAAGCCTTAATTCTGCGTGTACGAAAACACAAAGCAACTGATGCAACGTGTTTTCCACATCCCAAATCAAGATAAACATAACAACAGCATCTGAGATATACAGATACTAAATGGGGGGCATTAGGACCCTGGTGGGTGCTGCTCTAGTACTGAATCTAGTGGCTCCACAATTCATCTCAATCTGGGATTCAACCCAACTGATCATAGAATCCTGGCCCACCAAAGGGAAGTAACTCTGTACATGGATGGATACTGGACTTAACCCCAACATTACTTTGCTGATCATGTTAAATCAAGAATATATCTACATAGACTACATCAGCATACCCCAATACCATCACACAAAACCCTTTACACACAGCAGAACAATTAGCAAGGAGAAACAGTAACAAGCCAAGCCAACAGCTGCTTGAGATTTACGAGAGCTTCCAGCTAATACTGATTTCGAACAAGGAAAATAGTGTCATTACTTTGATTATTATGCTTGTGACAGCATACAAAAACAACAGATGAACAGTCATTAAAGAAATAATATTGTCATAGAAATGTATGGAGAATTGATAGATAAGAACAAACTGATAGTGTCATTTGTTTTGCAATAATTATTACAATGTTATGATACAAGTGTTTCAAAAGTAAGAAAAATAGAATGAAAAAAAAGTGTTTTCTAGTAATAATAGAGTGAGTGAGTTAAGTCTTACGCCACTTTTAGCAATATTCCAGCAATATCATGGCGGGGGACACCAGAAATGGGCTTCACATATTGTACCCATGTGCGGAATCGAACCCGGGTCTTCAGCGTGACAAGCGAACGTTCTAACCACTGGGCTACCCCTAGTAATATAAGACATGAGAGATGTCGAGGGATTTAAGAGCTGTCTTTCTCTTTGTTGTCTCTGGTGTAAAATACAGGTAGCCACTGTGTTGGTTCAAGGTGACTGAATCAGGCACAGGTAGATTCCCTTACATGGCTTGAGCCTTGTGCTGTCAATCACTGTATTGTGTGTTCCAGACTCAGTTGGTCACAGAACACTATCATAAAGTGTCAACATTGCTGAGCATGTGTCAACAAAAAAATAAAAATACCACACTAACATTAAATATCAAAACTTAAAAATAATCACGTTTTTCTGTCCCCAGTATATATAGCTAACACACCTCAACAACACATTTCACACATCAACGTGGTAAACATTTGGGAGTCAATCACAGCTTATTTACGGTGAACATCACATGGATATTTAGGGACTTCAGCGCTTTTGGCAAACTGTTTGTTACACAAGAAAATCTACAAAAACTATAATTAATGACAAAAAAATCCCCCAAACTTATAAGGGAGGACATTTTGTTTGTAAACACTTCTCTGGATTAGTGAGTCTGGTGTTACGCCACTTTTAGCAATATTCCAGCAATATCATGGGGGGTGACACCAGAAATAGGCTCCACACATTGTACCCATGTTGGGAATCGAACCCGGGTCTTCGGTGTGACGAGCGAACACTTTACCCACGAGGCTACACCATCGTCCCTTTCCTGGATTAGAACAAAAAGGCAAGTTGAATACTATACTCAGCTGAACTGAAGAATACATTTCACACTAGGTGGTGGGGCTGGGGAAAGGGGTGTGGGTGGAATATTATGGTGAGCTCTGGGGTGGGGGGGGCTGGGAGAGGGATGAGGCTTCGGGGAGGGGGCAGGGATGAGGGTTTGGGGCTGGGGTGAGGGTGGGGGCTTGGGCCAGGGGCAGCGGGTGTGTAAAAGACAAGCTGATTCATTTTCTAGCTTGTTTTGTTTCAATTACACCAGATATCAATCTCAGCATGTAAAAATACCTTACAGAAAATACCACTGAAATTGTACCTCATCATGTCCAGCAATCACTTTTCTAAATTCTAAATATTTACTGTTACACTGGAATTTGCTGTCTCCTTGTACATAAACAATACAATGTAACATTTACTGCACATGAACAAACAAGACAGCAATTCTTCTTGAAACTTGCACCAAAGAAGGCATGTCCATTATACTCAAGAGCACGATAACAACAAAAACATGAAATTAAAATTTGTATCCATTAATCTGATAATGAGAAGGCACAGGACAGAAGACACTATTCCACAAAGACCAATGCCGGACGAGCTGAGAATCTCAAGAAAGACTCAACTGTAACTTTGTTGTGTTGTTGTTTCAGTGTAAGGACATCACTTGTAACATTACAAACAAATATCTCTTAATAACTGATACAAAAACAAACATATTTTTATGCAGTATTTGCAAAATCAAACATGAAGGCATAAATACTAAAAAAATCAGGCCACTAAATAAAAAACACATTTCTCAATCCACGACTTCACGTTTA